AATCATGAATACTATGGCAGAGGAAGTAGGATTATGCATGTTCTATAAGGTTTCCCTGTTGCTCCGATCAAGTTGCGAAAACGAAGTCAAACCAACACTATAGAGCTAAAGGAGACTGATCAAACAGAAGGCCACGTCATCTTCGTCTTCATATCTACGACCTGATAGTTAAGTTATACGCTGAAATGAGGATAATAAGTTGAAAACCTGTTCGGTGAGACCTAGTATAGATTTTATCAAATGCTTAAGGCAGATAATGCGGAAAAACGACCAGAGTATAGAGAATACAGTGATGGGAGCCAAATGAAATAATTGAACTTGTAAACTCAGAAGCGGGTTGTCAGGGTCACGAGAGGAGAACTGATAGGAGTTGGATATGGTAGTTTCCGATTGAAAGAGCCAAGTGGGATCCACAATTCCGACCTATCAGAGGATAAGAGGAAAACAGCTGAAGTGTAATGATACCTCTGTAAATCCATGCAAAGTGTCGCTCCTCTGGAGGAGCTTAGAATGAGCAAGTTGGAAATTGTGACAGAAGAAGTTTGCGGAATGGAACAGATTAGTTAATCTGGACGGAAGGAGAGATACCAGAGATGCTCAAAATAAAGTTGGTGAAAGGAAGGACTTCACTTGCCCCCTTGCCGAGTTGTAGCTTGATGCTAAGAATGACAAGGCTCGCTAACGATACCGGCGAATCGTTTGTAAATGTGTCAAATCCACTGTTGGAAGCTGGAAATTAGCAAGCCTCATATGACAAAGGACTTTGGACCAAGTACATTCAACTACCTCACCCTGGCAACACGACAAATTTACAAAAACAGGGTCAAAGCACGATTCTACGGCGAAAATAGTCTGCGATTGAACTAGTAGCCACAACTAAGGATGCTAGTATTGTGTTGCTTAATTGTTTAACCGAACCTTCATATTTGCTCTTCTTTAGACACACAGCATGAAAGATTTATTTTGACACGTACCAATTGTGTAGCTGGAGGAATCCAGGATGATCGTCCAAGTGCTGAAGGTCTGCGACAATGAGAAACCTAATAGGTTGCCCTGCGTGAAGATGGCAACACCACGAGTATCCATACCGCATGTATCGCCGCATGTACCGGAGCTCAGATAGTAGCGGTAGCGTCCAGAGCCGATGGACAATATTTTTAACCAGAACGAAATGGTCATGCCGTTTATTGAACAGATCGCCTGTGATGGGTCAATGAGACAATCATTCGTCCAAACGAAATCAGATTGGGTAAAATTGGGGCTCCACTGCCTTCCTTTTGATTGTAAATAAAGAATAGTAGACCATAATAAAAGTAAATGTTTCAAATATTTGAGCTGAAGTAATGTATACCTTCCCTTTTATACTTTATATATCTAGTATCTGATCTCCATACTAAACAAAAAAGTATGGGATATTTTGTCCTCTACGAGGGGGAATTAAGGCTCATTGCTACGTTATTTGGATTCCATTTATTTTATTTTATGCTGCTGCTTTTGCGTCTATTCGGAGGATTATTTGCATTTAGTAAGCATTAAAAAACTTTCGTCAATGTAAGCAGAGACTAATAAATTTGCATTAATACGAAGTTTATGCTTACATATATCACCATTTCAGTTGTCAAAATACACTGCATTTTTTATGAAGTTACATTTTTCACTTTCTGGTC